AAATGTGACATTGCTCTCAACATCTCCCATCTCTCTGGATTTCTTTTTGCTTCATTATTCCTGCTAACCAATTCATTTTCAGACTTTGTACTTCAGAAGCAATGGGAAAAATCAGCAGTCTTCCAACCCAATTATTTAAGTGCTGCTTTTGTGATTTCTTGAAGGTAAATATTTCTTACTCTTTGAAGTCATTGGGGAATTTTATTTAAATTGTGTACTGTTTGCTTCTGCCTAGAACTGTTATTCACTTTAAAATTTTCATTGTTTTGGAACTGAGAGTTATTTATAAATTGCTGAATACGCAATTCTGTGGAATCTGAAAAATAGCTCGGGGAGATGGATGTATTTGCACAGATATCTGTATGAGTAGAAACTATTGCAAGGTACTTATGCTAAATCCTCCACTTCTGCAGGGCTTCCATGGTGTCATTATAGAAGATTCCTTTAAATCCTGTCTATGGCTAAGGGCTATATAGCGTGGATATTAACTTGGGGATTTTTTTTTTTCTTTTGCAGGTGCAGATGTTTTATTTTTAAGACCATGCTTGTGTGCATGTGTGTGTGATGTGTGTGTGTGTCTGTCTGTGTGTGTGTGTGTGTGTGTAACTCATCAGGACTTTATTTACAAGGCATGCCATATATGAAGGATTATATTTTAGATGATATTAAGGCTTTTAAATGTGATCTTTGGAGCGAAGGTCTCGGAACTCTGCACTTACGCCCACAGAGTTAAAGTGTAATTGGTTCTTCCAGGGAGGAACTCCTTGACAACTCTTGCTGACCCTTTATATTTGTATAATTTAAACAAATACATACGGTATATAGAAAGCAGAAACTTTCTAACAGCTGCTTTCCCAACCTTTCTGTTCAGAAGAGGACTTTCATGGGCAAAGTTTGGACTTGGGGTTTTATGTTGTAAAACTCTGATTTTATATTCAGTGTCATGAAGTCCCTTTAGGTAAATCTGGCTGCCGTTGTCAGGGCACCGACTTCTCATTTCCGATTGCTGGCCGTAGTTCTAGTTTCCATTCTCAGCAATATTATATCCCTCACGACTTGGGTATTTTCAATTTGCAAGGGCTTTTAAGCTGCTGTCACTGGCTCCACTGATGCAATTGCCTGAGGGCTCAATTCATAAGATCCCTCTGCCACTTAGTGCAGCACTCACCCGCTGCTTTCAAACACTTCACCACTAGGACTTTCCCTAGTCAAGTAAGTGGCTCCGGGAGTTAAAGGTACACCCTTGTCAGGCACCTGATTCTGCTGTTCCTGAGATGCCAACACCGGCAGGCCACCTTGCTTTCAAAGAAATGACGTCACCACTATGCATACATACTATGTGGTCTAGCACCTGGAGTTTTTGTCTCCCTAATTAGGCGATCATAAAAGAGGCCGTTGAACGTTATCTCTGCGTTAATTACAAGTTAAAAAAAATTGTCTCCAAATGCACTTTTCATGCGCTGTATGCTGAACGTTTCAGGAGTGGAGCTTGTAATAAGTTGTTACTTTTTTCTGTACTTGAGGCAGAAAGTGGTTTGAAGGAGCTGCTTGGTCTTTCATAGGTAATTCAGTGAGTAAAGTTGTCCTGTCCAGAGGCAGAACTCACAAACTGATTGTACTGAGTTTCAAGGTATTTCCAAGAGAATGAGTCGGGGAAAGGGAGTTAGGGAGTAGACTGGAGCTTGGGTCACTATCTGGGCGGCTACAACAGGCATACAATGAAAATAGGTGGCTAGACTGGGGTAAAAAGATTAACTTAAATCCCAGCTGTGCAATTTGTTCATTGTTTGAATGGACAAAAGGCAGTTTGCCCAGCTGCATAGCATACCTGCCTGGGTGTCCAAATGTAATTAGATGCTTTCACAAACCCCACCCACAAAGCAGCACATGGTTTTAAGACCTCAGTTTTCTATTCACATCGGTCTCATAATACCCACCCTGACCTGCTGTAAAAGACCTGGAACAAGCAGAAGTGATTACACCTACAGTGAGTATTTTCTTATGACTATTGCCCTCAAATTTTATAGGCATTTTCATTGTAGTCTAGACATCTGGAATCAATTAATATTCCATTTATTTAAGATTAAAAAAAGAGAAAGGGCTTTCAAAATTTGGGTTTGTGCATGATTTTTGAGAAAATGTTTTCTGATTTTTTTCTTTTTTTCTCTTGTCTTTCTGATTCTTCCCTTTTTTTCTATCATATCTTTCCTTTCTCTCCATGTATTTCTTTTGTGTTTGGCAAAATAAAAGGCCAAGGAAATAATGAACATATGGGGCCACTTGTTTCACACTTTTAACTCCTAAGCAAGTTCGGTTTTGTTTTCCTTTGTGGGAACATAATGTGATAAAATCTCTGGTTCTCTGTGGGTATACTGGACTATTACCTAAACTCAAGGAAAATGCAGCAGAGGTTCTGTCTTGTACTAGAACTGTAAGTACTGAGATTTATCTGACAATATAGCTCAGCAAAAAAAAAAAAAAAAAAAAAAAAAAAAAAAAAAAAAAAAAAAAAAAAAAAAAAAAAAAAGAAAGAAAGAAAAAGGAAAACCTATTTTAAAACTCTAAAATTCTTAAGTTCTAGAGATTTATATGTATTGCTGCACTTAAACGTGTTATACTAGAACTATTAAAAATACAGTTTTGACATCTAATGAAGTTTGAAATTCACTGAGGCTATAACTTGAGGAATTTTTTTCTCTGGCTTTCACAAAAACTGAAGAATCTGAAGGCATCTACAGTTGCAGGTGCCTAGCCTTCAGCATTGCTATAAACTCAACAAAGAAGGGTGGGGTGGAGAAATAGAATTTGGTAGAATAACACGCTTTCTAGAACTGGCCCATTCCTACAGTGTGGGTATATGCTCTGTAAGATCAATCACAGGTTTGTTCTTTTGAAAAAGGCCATGAGGTCCAGTTGGGCTGGATTTGTTGAGGTTTCTACTGGAAATATTGAACAGGAAAGCCCCCATTACTTATTTTATAACTAAAAAAAAAAAAATTAAGAACCGAATGATAACTTGCTTCTACCAGTCCCGGGCTATGTAGAGGGTAAAAGATTTCCATGCAGAGATCCTGTTGAGAAAAATGCAATAAATGTTCTGTTGAGCTTTTCCCTCCTCTTCTATTTTATGTCCATTATTTATAATGATTTACAAATAGAGGGCGCTTTTCATCTTCAAATGTTTTATAAGAATTAACTAAATATTTGCATTGTGTTAATGAGAGACAGGAGTTTGGGTTCTTTGCTTTTTTTTTTTTTTTTTTCCAATTGCTGAGCTGAAGGTCTGACTACAAAAATGGAAATCTTCATTAGAATGATGGGGGAAATTTTGCCACCGGTAGAGCCATTTAATTAAGCGTCCATGGAGGGCAAGGAGGGTGGTCAGAAAATAAATGACTGAGTCTGTTTCTCCAAAAATGATGGATTTGAATGCACCTACCACTACTATGAGGTTCATAAAAGCCTCCTTTTATAATGATAATTTCCAGCGTAACTCCACAACCCTTTTAACAGGGCCCCTCACCTAACACCCTGTCAGTGACTCTTCCCATGATGCTGAAAGTAGATGCATCTGAGAGAAGTGGAGCCACTCACATTGGGAGGTTTCTTGGAAGAAGCTACCACATCTTTGTGCCATAAGTAACAATATGGGAAAACTTAATGATCACCTTAGCATAGCTTCTACTACTTAGAGTGAGGATAGAGACTTGAGCCACAGGACAGCTGCTTTTGGCAAGGCTGCCGCTTGGCTATCTGCCATTGACTAAGTCATGCCAACCAGGGGCCCTTGGCATATTTTTCTATAAAATAGATACAGTGACACATAAGTCCCTCCAAGAGATGAAGCCAGAATTCCTGTGACTAAAAATAAAAGATTTTTGCAGGTTTGAGCCCAGTGCCCTATACACAGAAGGGATTCTCAACACATGTTGATTTGATATTGGACTTGAGGCAAGGGGTTTTAGAATGCAGAAGAAGTGGCTTCTCCTTGAGCCAATTTCATTCTTCGGTTCTCATATTTTTTTCTGTTTCTGTTATTTTTCTTCTATTTGTGGTTATGTCAACCGCTGATACTCCCCAGGTTAGGAATCAGTGTGTGTGTGTGTGTGTGTGTGTGTGTGTGTGTGTGTGTGTGTGTCTTTCTCTCTCTCTCTCTCTCTCTCTCTCTTTCTCTCTGACNCTCTCTCTCTCTCTCTCTCTCTCTCTTTCTCTCTGACTCTCTCTGTCTCTGTCTCTTTCTTATGTTAAGAGAAAAAAAAAAACCTTTGATAATATATAGTATTGTCAAAAGCCTTTTTTGGCCATAGTAAATTCTTTTTAGTCAAAAATAGGGAATGATGTTTGGTTAAAAATATTCTGGTCAATAATGAATGCATATACCATCTGTGGATGGCCAATATTGAGAGACTTCAAATTAACAAAACTTAGTTGGTTCCAAATATGTACTGGGCACAATTTAACCTTTGATAATTCAAAAGTTCTACCAGGGTCTCAGAATGGTATGGGATCTCATTGTAATAATAGCATCTTTCATTTCCATAGTAAATGTTTCTAGATATTTTATCTCAATTCATTGAAATAGGAACCTATAAAGAAGGGGTTCAGAGAGAATTTCTCCAAGGATCCACAGTAGTCAGGGGAATAAACACAGGTTACTGGATGTCAAGACATGCTACATTCACGACTCCCACTGGGTTCCCATGTTCTCTATTGCACCTCTGTGCCAGGTAGTCCTGATTAATGACAGTCATAGAATCATGGGAGTCAATGCACTTCTGTCCCACTCCACTTCCCTTGCAAGGACCAAGGAAGAAACCTGACCATCCTTCTGTTTCTTGGGCAGGTGAAGATGCACACCATGTCCTCCTCGCATCTCTTCTACCTGGCTCTGTGCCTGCTCACCTTCACCAGCTCTGCCACAGCTGGACCGGAGACGCTCTGTGGGGCTGAGCTGGTGGATGCTCTCCAGTTCGTGTGTGGAGAAAGGGGCTTTTATTTCAGTAAGTATCCCTCCCTCTCACTGTGCTGCTCAAGTCTAAAGTGTACAGCTCTGTGGATTTACAACAGCAGGGAGTGTGTGAATAACTGAATGACTGCCCGTGTCTGGCAGCCATCCTAGATCTCTAGGATTCCTCACCTTAAAGTAAGCATAGTGTTTCAGTGGGGCTTTGGCAGGTTTTGCAGATCTAGGATGGAATTTTCCTCCTTAACAATTAGTCTTTAACTACTTCCTCCTAAGCCTTCTTTCAGCTATTATAATCTACGCTTACTGTTCCATTCCCTTCAGTGAAAGGATAGGACAAAATAACCCTGAGGTATTGATGTTTTTGTTTTCAAAATCTATGGGTGCACATATAAACATACGGAACCCATGTGGGGCTGCTTTAAGTGCTATGTGATTTGGAGTAAAATAGTAAGAACTCTCCAGTCATGTGGATCTGGAAAAAAATATTAAAGGGCATATCCTAGATGTCTCCATTCAATATGAAATCACCACGAACAGACAGAAGGTAAACTCCACTTACAGGCATGTTTGCAAGCTCGTAGACTACCTCTAAATGCAAGCTGAAATGCCATACCGATTTGCCCTCTTTGCCAATCGACCTTGATTTTTTCTTATTGCTCTCTATTGGCATATTTCTTCTCTGGGACCCTTCAGTGATATCACCATCTGGAAAAGGATCTCTGACAAGTACAGGGTCACTTATCTCAGTGTCACTTATCTCTTAGGTGATTAGAAAGTCAACAGCCATTAAAAGGTAGACAGCCAAGTCAAGTTGTGTAAATAATAAGCACAAGCAAAAGTCAGTGATACCTATGGAAACTGCTCACTTAAAGAATCTAGCTTCCATGCATTTAACTCACTGTATATTATAGGACAGTGAAAGATTTAAAGCCAGATGCTCATTCCGTATAATCCTTTGGAGTTTTAGAGAGTTCCAGGAAACTGAGCATGAATCATTCTTAAAGGTTCATATCACTCCAATGTAGACAGCTTACCTCAGTTACCCACTGTGCTCTGAATAGCTTCTGTGATGACTCACACACTTGAAGTCTCTCTCATCTTCTTCCCAAATGTCAGCCTCTCTCTAGGCTGGTGGGGTATGTATGTGTATAACTGGCAGGATAGAGGGTGGCCTGTGTGTACAGATCTGGAGATAAGTAAGGGAGATGGGAAGAAAGAGGCTGGTGAGGGGATTGGTGATCAGTACTTTCAGTGGATTCGTCAACAAATAGTTTTTAAATCACTAGTGACAAAGAATCTCAAGTTCCTTCTACTATTGAATAGGCAAATTCCCACTATTTGCTCATAGTCAATGCTTTGATTGAGTAAATTCATTTATTTTCCTGGCAATAAAGCAATTCTATCCAGTTCTCTGTTGCAGAGGGGATGAATGAATGTATTGGGTGAGTGATTTTCCAATAGCAGACTTGTTTTACCTTTAAAATATCCTGTGGAAGATAACGGTGGGACCTCATATGATCCAACAGTGGGTCATAATTATTCCATAATTTGAAGCTACTGATCCACATTTTTTTTAAAATGAAAAAGTGGTTCTCACTTATTATGCCCAAGAGGACTTTTTTTTTTGCCTTGATAATCCATTTCTGCAATTTCCTTTGATCCAGTTCACTAAGTAATTGCCAAGTCTAGAAGTGTCCTTTGTTATGTGCCAGACTGAATTGTGGCATTCGACATGACATGCTCCAGAATTTCCATGCACAGTGCATGAAAACTGGATCCTTCTATGCCTATGATGCTTGCATTAAATGATGAAAAATAAGAATGGAAAAAATGATTGTTCCTAAGTAACTGTATGATATTTATATGTGTTTGCACAGATATTTAAGAATATTGGACAACTAAAATGGAAACCAATTTCCAGGTTCTCTTATTCTGTTACTGCAACAATCAAATTTCAGCAAGCTTTTAAAAATTGTGTCTGAATAACTTGAAAAGGAAAAGTTATATATAGCAACTCTTGATGTTTACTGTATGACTCTAGCTAGAAAGTGGTTCTGTAAATCATATGTTGTTGTCAGTATTGTCATTGAAATATGTGTGTCATGTGCTTTTCCTTATAAAATTCTGTGACTTACGTGAATCTGACATACCCTCCTGCACAAGTGTCCAACATAACTTCATGCACAAAAGTATTCTCATTAACATTCTAGTCAATTGGACAATCTTATTTGCCCAAAAGAAGTTAGTCTATTTAGATTATTTTAATTTAATTTAAAACACTGATGGAGGATCTGTTATGTGTAGGCATTGGACAAGGCATGAATGAGATGCCTAGAAACGAATGAGAGATTGACCTTGACTTCAAGGGGCTTAGTTGAGTGGTAAAAGAAAAATACACTAAGTTATTGTCATAAAAGAAAAATAACCATGGAGAATAGATTATATCCTTTATGTTTTTCCTGAGTATTTTGTCCCATTTGTGGTCTCACCTTACAAGGGTCTACCCTTCCAAGAATAATACCTTGTCAGTGGGCTCCTTGAGGCCAAAGGACATATTTATTTACCTTTGAATCCAAGCGTCTATCTCATTGCCTGGATGCTATATTAGCTGCCCATATTTGATTGTTGGACAGGATTGAATTGACGTGAATCCAGTTGAATTCAATTGAATTGAATGGAATTACTTGTTTGGGATCTTAGTCTTAAGAACCATCAGGGTTGTCAAGTACTGTGGACAATACTTCTCATCTCATGGTTATCCAGTTATTTAATAAAACTGCTTTTCTTTCGTTGAACTGAAAAAAATATATACTAACAATGACTTAGAAGCTGCTGCAGTTTGGTCATCCCCAAGCTACATTGATATCTGTTTTGTGTCTGAGCCAATTATTTTTACAGGCATTAACTGTTGTCAACAAATTTCACTTAGTTTCCTTTTCATCCCCTGAGATGTACTGTGTATGGAGAAGTCAGCTCTAAGCATAGACAGTCTTTGAAATATGTTTTAGAGGAAAGCACTCTTCCCCACCTCTATACACTGTCAGTTGACTCTCATTATTCTCGTTATGCTTATTTTCAAAGTTTTATTGTGGCTGTGCCTTTTATTTTAAACTGCTTCAAATCCATTTTGGAAGTACAATTTTTTTAGTAGTAGAAGGCAGCTTCTAATTTGAGTTTGAAATTCAAACATCTAAGAGAAAATTGCCTCCATATCTATCATTTTTGTCAATCACAATATTTAACAAGGAGAGTTTTTTAACTCTATTAGAAATGTTCTGAATAAAATGTTTTGTAATGCTTACTGTGTGTCGATTTACCCCATGTTGTGAATGAGCTCATATTTCCCTTCAAGCCCAAGTTCCACTATAGCACGGGGGAAGCAGCCTTCTAGATTATCTGTTTGTGAATATTATCCCATCATAAATGGAACAGTTCATGTATAATTAAAGCAGCTTCCCCAGACATTTTATGAAATGAAAGATCCAATGAAGAGCTAATTACTGATTCTTCCCTATGCATCACAGGGAAGATAGGAGAGCCCATCAGCCAGCCTTGTGTTCTTGTAGTCCTGTGAGAAAAATGGTAGCATAATGGAGATGAAAGCACATTTGGAAGGAGCTAGCTATTTTCTTACTAGATTGATGGACCCCGTATGAAGGGTGGCTCATAACAACCTCATTTTTGTGTGAAAAACACCAAGAGAAAAAGAGCTTCAAATGAAAAAGAAGTGAAGCTTACAATAGATATAATTTTTGACAGCCATGGTGATTAACCATTTTAACATGCTGCTATGGGCCTGTGGAATTTCTCTCCTTGGAGATTCTTAAAAAATTGACAGAAAACCAACCATCTTGAATGGTTTCAATTAAGAGCAACTGAAAGAAAGAGAGTTTCTGTGGTCTTTTTTAGTTTTAAGAGTCTATAAACAGTCCCTTAAATAAACTGTATATGCTTTACCTTGGTGGTCTGGGGAAAAGGAGAAGTAAATCAATTAGAAAAGAAAGTTGGAGATTCTTGCAACTATTCAGGATTTATAGCTTTTGTAAAACATATTTCCAATGTATAGTTATTAAGAATAGGTCTGAATAAACGAATGGCACTCTTCATGTGTTAAAACAGACTCTTTCGTAAGGACTTTAAGTGAAACTTTACAATGAACTTTCATCATTATTGATTGCAACAACCTTCTTAGATCTAGGTTATTATTATTAAGTTAAGCTTGTTTCCTTTGATATATACTGCCCAGAAAACTGCTCCCAGACCTGTCATTCATTAGCTGTAGGACTTAGGCAGGCATTTAAATTTCCTGGGGCTAGATGTTCTTGTTCATAAAACAAGGGAATTTTATTAAAGTAAATGACCTCTTCTAACTTTAACAGACTCATAGTCTAGGTTGTAATTAACAAAGCTCTGGTGCTATTTAAGAAAGAAGAACCTTGGATTTAAGTAGTGACCAAAGAACATTTAGTCTCTTGTATCTTATTTACGTAGTTTCTGTTGGTCCCAAGAGATAGGAGATTCCACCCACTTAAAGTAAGAGGAACCAGATTCTTTGTTTTGCATTAAGCCGATTGCAACCCCTCGGGGATGGAATAGAAGCTCAGATATGACCAATAACATGCGGGTCTTTTGGACCAAGGAGCCAAAGAAGCACACGCCTCATGAAAACAAAGTCTCATTTTTCTTTGTTAGGATAGACCCACTGACAGTTTCTATCTTTACATTCTCTCACTCTCCTGGCTTTGAGGTCAAGTGAGTACATTCATTTTTAGATGCACTTTATTAAATTAGAGGCAACAAATAAGAATCTATAGGTTTCTAAACCTCTTCCCAACCTATTATCTTTTCAATTAAAGAAGAGAGCGTAAATTGGGGCATTTGACATCACACTAATCCATTGTTAGCATTGTTTTGAGTGGGGCTGGGTTTGAGCTGCACCATTTTTACTCCTTTGATTGGTATCTCTTAGACTGCTTGCTGTGCATCTGTGTAACAGCTGGTCAAAGTTAGGAATACAGTCACTAGCTGTGGAAA